TGGGACTAGTCCCACCTCAAACTTACTGTAGCTCTGGGAACATAAAAATTTCATGGGTTTCATGATATGTATATAGGTCCCCAAAGAGTTCACTTTACTATAAGCTGCCACCAAACAATGTTGTTTGCGACACTGTAAAACTAACTCCAAAGGGTAGTTTTATTGTATAAATCTTCTTTCACAAAACAAACAAATAAAATGGAAAAAAAAAAAACAAAAAACAAAAAACAAAAAACAAAACACTTCTAAATTTTGGTGAATTTTCTTCTAAGATCATTTCAAGTACTTAGTTTTAACCATCCAATTTGAGAAAATAACAATTTATTGGTTTGTCTATATTTTTTAATTTCACAGAATCATCTAGGTTGGAAGAGACCTCCAAGATGTATGCTTTACTATGCATACAGCTAAAGGCTTCTCCTAAGCAAATATAAAAGTTTAAAGGGTAAATTATGCCCTCAAATTTCACGGGGCTAGGGAAAAGCTGTTTACACGGCTCTTGACAATTCTTTCCATGCCTCCATTTAAGACTCAAACATCAAGACTCAAACTTAAGACTCAAATTACAATTACAATGCGCCGGGTAATGCAGGAAACGCTACGTGAAGTAAAAGGTAAACCAGAATAAGGGAGGAAAGTTGGCTCCCCTGTAACATGGAAAACAGACTAGAGGCAAGTTGGGCCAGATCTTCAGTGGGTACGAACTGGCAGGCAGCCAACGAGAAGGATGCTACTTTATACTTGCTTAACCTCTACCCTTCATGTTCCCCCTCACCCCCCTTATTCTTGCAATTTTCTTTTGTGCTAAGATAGAGCATCCGTTAAGATAAATCCTTACATTCTGTAGCAACCATAGTTTATTTCCTGGTATATGTTAATATTACAAGCTTCTTTGAAAATAAGACAGCCACAGTAGCAGTCAAAGCCTTCTGTTTTTGGGGGGTAGAGACACTACGCACTCTTCTTTCTTTCCTGGTTTTTCAAAGGTCCAGCATGTTGCAGTATCATTTCCGATGCCCAAAGAATCTCATGGCTATCAGTGACAGCAATGCTGCTGTTTCTAGATTGCCCAAAATAATCAAAAAGACCTGGGCACTCAACCTGAAGTGTGAATAACACCTAAAACTCCATTCAACTTATCTGAACCAAGTCACTCACCAACACTTAAATCAGTCTCCCAAAGCATGTTCCATATGGCAGATTTCATGACACACAGAAGGAAAAGACAGCTACAGTTTCAACAAGAAGAGCCAAATTTCAATTTTCTTGCTCCGCAGATAACTGAGACACCATCCCGTAAATCCCTTGCCCTGCTGGCAACTCCAGGTACAGAGAGGGGCTTTAGGACGCTCACAGTCAGAGCAAGAAAGTCCTTTTCAATTGGAATAAACAGGAAAAAAATAATAATTCCACCAACTTGGAAATGAAACTATGGAATCATAGAATAAAGAAGGTTGGAAAAGACCTTCAAGATCATCTGGTCCAACCATCACCCTACCAACAATGTCACCCACTAAACCATGTCCCTAAGCACCACGTCCAACCTTGCCTTGAACACCCCCAGGGCGGTGACGCCACCTCCTCCCTGGGCAACCTGTCCCAGTGCCTGACTGCTCTTCTGAGAAGTAATGTCTCCTAATTGTTTTACTTGTTGAAGAGCAGCGCTCTTTGTTCAGTTCTTTAATTCTTAAGGAGCAGGGGCATGACGTTTCCATTTTTCCACTCCCCAGTGACAGCACCCCACTACCAGGACTTTTCTGCTGTGACGGAGGGAGGCTTGGCAACTCCATCAGCCAGTTCCCTCAGGACCCTGGGATTCTTCTCATCAGGTCCCGTAGACCTGTACCTCTTTGGCTTCATCAGCTGGTCTCGAACCTGCTCTTCGCTTACACTGGGTGGGACTCTGCTCCCCCTGCCTCCATCTATGGGGTCAGGGAAATGAAAGATGCGGGAAGCCCATCTATCAGTGCACACAGGGGCAAAGAAGTTGCTGAGTACCTCAGCCTTCTCCACGTCTGTCATTACCAATTACTCGAATATAGAAACTCACTCCTAATATAAGAAAGTAGCCAGCTATAATCACTCACGCACTACTGTTTTCACCCCTCGGTTTATTTTTACAACTTTTAAAGGCGCATGGTGGTTCCTGGGGACTCCTCCTGTCACCCCAGCGCAGCAGCCCGAAGGGAGCTGGGGCCTCTCTTGGGCTCTTCCTCGAGGCTCTGCGCAGAAGGGCTGCCACCTCTCGCACAAGGCCTAGCGGATGGGAAAGAAGCACTCACACAACCCCTGAGAACTGGCAAAGGTCTTTATTGCCAGCTGTCTCCAGGCTATTGCCTGGAGTGGAGCCTGGGCGATGCGGAATAGGGAGCTGGCCGAGCCCTTCTGCACAGCTGCCGGTGTTCCTTCAGGACGCTTTTCAGAGAGCTGCCGGCAGAGTCCCATGTTTGTTGTGGCCGAGGTGGGTCCACTTCCATCGCTTCCTCTTCATCTTGTGCACCCACCTCCATGGGCTCCGCGGGTTGGAGGACGAGCCAGTCCCTGGCAGGGACTGCCCACACAGGCTGCCTTCCACTGGGCATATTTTCTGGCCACGGTGCCGCACCAGGACGCCTCCCAGTTCCGGGCCTCGGGTCCGTTCTGTTCTCCGCCTGATTTTCATTCACGGAGTCCCTGCTGTTTTCTTTCCCTTGGCCACGGCTGGGTCCCGCATCATATTCTGACCGCTGGGCACGGCTCCACTTCCCGTGGCCCTCCAACCCATGCTCTCCGTCATTGCTGGACCTCCGGCTAGGCCCAGGCCTGCTGCTGGTGTCCGTCCGAGGGGCCGGCCTGCTCCACGCATCGCTTTGGCTCCAATGATGTTGATGATAATAGCCTCTGGGCCGGGCACCAGACACCTCCTGGGCACTGATGGTTCTTGTGCTGGAGGTGCTGGCCCTCGACCCACGGCGCATCCACGCACAGCCAGACATCCTTCTCAGTGGTCCCAGGAACAATTTCTTGTCCTCGCACTGAGAAGGGCTGCTGCTCGCCTCTCTCTCCCTTTGCTCGTAACTCTGGCCTTCCTTCAGCCGCTGGCTTTCGGAAGACCAAATCGCTGAGCAAGTGGCGGGCCAGTGGCAGGGGGGCCCCTTTTATAGGGCCCAGGGCAAGGGCGGGCCCGCTGGTGGCCACTGTGACCTCGGCAAAGCTCTGTGATGGAGCGGCCCGTGCAAGGCCGAAGGCGGCTGCCTTGGGAGAGGCCCGGAAGATGCCCTCATGTGGAGCAAGGACGAGGGCTGGGGGGGCTGAGGGCCCCCTTTTCTGGGGCTGGCTCCCCCCCAGGCCGTTTGGCTTGCCAGAGAGAAAGGCTGCCCCATGCAACCCTGCCTCGACCCGTTTTTTCTCCAGATCTCCAAGGGTCAGAGTCTCTCGTTAACGAAAAGAAAACCCCACCAACGAAACCAAACCAGAGCAATTCACAAGGCTAAAGCAGTCAAAACTGAAGTACCGATCACAGAATCACAGAATTTCTAGGTTGGAAGAGACCGCAAGATCATCGAGTCCGACCTCTGACCTAACACTAACAAGTCCTCCACTAAACCATATCCCTAAGCTCTACATCTAAATGTCTTTTAAAGACCTCCAGGGATGGTGACTCCACCACTTCCCTGGGCAGCCCGTTCCAATGCCTAACAACTCTTTCAGTAAAGAAGTTCTTCCTAATATCCAATCTAAACCTCCCTTGGTGAAACTTTAGCCCATTCCCCCTCATCCTATCACCAGGCACATGGGAGAATAGACCAACCCCCACCTCGCTACAGCCTCCTTTAAGTTACCTTTCCCTCATCTCTCCTCACTAAGTTTACCTCCACATCCAGTAACAGATGGAGATTCTCCTTAGTCCTCCTTTTCATGTTCATGTATTTATAAAAACATTTTCTGTTGTCTTTAACAGCAGTAGCCAGATTGATCTCCAAATGACCTTTGCCCTTTCTAATTTTGTCCTTGCACAGCCTTACAGCATCCTTATGGTCCTCCTGAGTGGCCTGCCATCTTTTCCAAAGGTCATAAACTCTCCTTTTTTTTTTTTTCCTAAGCTCTGGCCACAGCTCTCTGTTTAGCCAGGACGGTCTTCTTCCATGCCAGCTTGTCTTTAGGCACGTGGGGACAGTTTTATATATGCATAACTTCATGCAGCAACAAAATTCTTTCCAGAGTAAGCTTTTACATTACTACTTAGTTCTATAGGTGTTTATTTCCTTTAAGATATTTGTATCATGTATTAATCATGCAACATGAGGCCAAGGCCGGCTGCCTCGGAACTGGCCCAGCCATAGCGCCCGCCCACAAGTTACAGGGGGACTTTGGGCCCTTACCTTGCCAGGGGTGGCCCGGGGCAGCGGCGCGACCCAGAAGCATCTGTTAGTGAGGCTGGCGTGGCAGGGGCTTTGCCAGGGCAACAGTGACTGCTCCAAGGCCCTCTGCCTAGAGAAAGTCTACAGGAGGCAGCGCCAACAGGGACAACTGCCAGAGGGCACTGTCGGGCAAAGGGAGGGGACAAAATTAATAATTTTCCCTTAATAATTATTTTCCTTTAATTAAATTATCCTTATCACAACCTGTGAGTTGTTTCTTGCCTTTTCTTTTTCCTCTTCTCTTCTGAGGAGGTTGGTGAAAGAGTCTGGGGTGCAAGCTATTTTCTCTTCCCTCCTTCCATTTTCAGGTGATGACATGGGACAGAATAGAAGGTTCCAGTCCATAAATGCTTGGCTACGAGACTGTCGCTACAGACAGGGCTCTGTGTTCTTTGATAATGGCTGGTTTTATAAGACACCAGGCCTGACAGTAATACGTGGGAAAGGTTTATCTCACAGGGGCAAAAAGGTTCCGGGACAGGAATTAGCAGGGCTCAGTTTAAACTAGATTCAAAGGGGGATGTTGTTGTAACTGGGCTTGCACTGGTAGGGCAACGCTCTAGTATTGATGAAGACTGGGAGGGCTCTTGGATCCACCACTTGAATTGCCCTTTTTCTTCTGCTGATAGCCTCTAATTCTCATGCCTACAGACACACAGAGGAAAAGGCTATGCTTATTTTCACTTTGGAGCTAGCTGGCACCACAGCTGATGGCATTTTAGTTAAAGTCCCTGTTACTGATTGCAGAGCCGTTTGCAAAATGGCTCCCTGGGCTGCACCTGTGAGACAGGACACATCACACCTCACACCCTGACAGACCCCAGGTTTATAGGAACTTTCCATCCTCTTTTGAGGTGTTCTGGTCCCATCACAAGTTTAGGTGATTGCTTTTTCTTTTAGTGACAATGCAACACCTAGAGACAGAGTGTTATTTCTGCTGTGTAATGGACCTTTATTCTTTTTTCTCTAGAAAGAGCTGGGATGTGGATACACAGCACCCTGATAGCAAGTTCACAAGGAAAGGTTGTAGTGCACTGTCACTGCACTTGGTTCATTCTACTCAGTGTCTACCAGGACTGTCAAAGCAGCAAGTTTGTGCAAGACATAATGCTTAGATCAAGTCTATATCAAGTCTCATCCCAGTTTTAATTCAGTTTACTTCAGCCCAACAAAACAAACCTCTTATTGCTGTCTCGAGTACTGAGAAAAAATAATACACAATTAGTCAAACACTTATCCTCCCACCTGCCCATTCTCAGATTACCTTGTTTTGCAACCAGTCCTCTGGTAGAAAATTCCTCTGATGAAGTAACAGATGGTGCAGCAGTTGAGGTGGGAACCTAACAGTTTCTGCAGCTCTGTTCCTCAGTGGTCCTGCCCTGCTCAGGTGTGCTGCTGGCAGCAGACCATGGCCCCTTCAGGCACGTACCCATTCTGGCTTGGCAGCGGCAACAACAGTTTCCTCAGGATTGTCCCCACTCAGGTAAGGCGGCAGTTGTGGCAGCCCTTCCCTCAGGACTGTTCCCACTCCGGCCTGGTGGCATTTGTGCTAGCCCTTCACTCAGGATTGGCCCCACACTGGCAAGGTGGCAGATGTGGCAACCTTCCCCTCAAGACTGTTCCTCTGGCACGGTGGCAGCCCTTCCTTCAGGCCTGTTCCCACTCTGGCAGCAGTTCCCTCAGGAGGGAGTCATTCCTTCTGTGTGGAGGGCACCTACTGTAACAGCTGCAGTCTCCTTAAATATGGAGTGCTGCATTCCTCCCCGGTGAGTAATTTTGACATGAACTGGCTTTTTTCTTCCGGTTCTCTCTGCAGCAGGGTGAGCTGGAAGCCAGTGTGGCATGGCACCCTGTCACCAGCCACCTCTGCAGTCCCCTGCTCCTTAGTGTCTGCAGCCCGTGCTAGCTGCAAGCCCCTTGGTGGCCTGAGACCAGGCTGTCAGAGGAACACTTGAACTAGGCCCTTCCCACCAAGGTTACATCCTTGCCTCCTAATTTGCAATGCCACCAGGAGAAAACAGAAAAAAAATCAACACAATTGTTGAAACTAGAGAGGCTTAGAGTAAGGTTTTATAACTGTTTCTGTCTTATTCTTAGAATGTCTGAAAAAAATTAACCATCATGTGGAAACAGACAGATAACTCAGGAAAATGAAAAGGTCACAATAATTCTGAAAACTTACCCTTTGAGTTAAACTATTTTACATCAGTGGAGGACTCACATGCCATATATTCTGAGTAGTCTATGTTTACAGCAAATTGTGTGGTTTTTTTTTGTTTGTTTGTTTTTGAATAATTGCTTGTTCTTGGCTAAGATAATTGTGGTTCAGCACTAGCAGCATATAAAGTCATAATCCTTTATCACTTCAGTGCCATCACACTCTCTTGTAATTCATCTTGACATGTAATAGGCCTACATACCACTATATGATTTGTTTTTTCAATTGTTTATACCTCAGTAGAGCACAATGAACACCTGTATTTGAGAAATGGAAAATTTTCAAGCCAGATAAGCTTTAAAGCAGGAAGTCAGACCCTCAGCTATATAAAATGAGCCTTAATTAAGCAATTTCTCTAAGAATCTAGTCCCTATTTTGCAAAGTCAGAGGAAAAAAAAATAGACGTACCTTGCAATTTCTAACAGGAAAAAAATCACTATACTTCAAAGCTCAAATCATCAACAAATTAGTTATTACCATCTTTAACTTGGTCAAAGAAGACTTCTGGATACAATGTGTCTAAGGTTAAAAATGTGCTCATTTCACATGACTTAAATAAATTCAGTATTACTGTCTGTACTTCGATCAAAGATGGAATGAACAGAGTGAGAGAGAAAAAAATATCTGAGAAAGGAAGACGAACAGAGAAGCAAGGGAGTAGATCAAAACCATAGGCGTATATATGAATATAAGGCTCACTTGCATTGAACCATTCTGTTCTAAAGTTCATAGTATCTTATAATTAAATATATGAAATATAAATTGTTTATAATTAACTCCTTGGTGATTTTAAAAATACATTGCTAAAAGTAAAAGCACTTTGTAAATAAACCAATTATACTTTTTAAAAGAAAAAATAGGGAGTATTAAGGAACTGTTAGAAAGTTGCATTTATTTCACTTTCTTTTCACTAGCTTAATTTTTATTAAGAATAGTACTGTCCCACTCTATACAGATTCCTAATGAACATCAAGTTCAGTAACAAAAAATTTTTTTGTTACTTTTTTCAGTAACAAAAAGAATCTCTTTTTTATTTATTTTTTATTTTAAGCCAGATAAGCTTAGAAAGTACTTCTGTTAGTTATATCCACTTGGGTATATCACACATGAATCGCTCAAAGACAAAACAGAGAGAAAAAAAATAAGCATTTAGTTAAATAATTACCGAAGTTACATTTTGATCTGGTTTTTGAAACTGTGGAATTAAGGCTTAAAAATATAGTGACCTGGCTAATCTCTTCTTGTTACAAAATGCTGAGGCAAAATGAGACTTACTGTACACCAGTCTTCTTCAAATGTACTAATCAGAATCCATATGCTTCCCAAGTAGAAGTGAGTGTTACTGAAACAACCTTAGTGACATAACTCCTGCTTGACTTTGGACCCATTTTTCAAATTAAAAATTTGAAAATATGGAGCTAGCTGGAATGTAACAAAGTTTATTGTTGATATTGTTTATGCATAAAAAATCTGATGGAGCACAGTAAGTCATTTTAAAGCAGTGAAAAAGCTGCCACAAAATTAAAGTACCTTATTTTACTGGTGCCGTAACAGTGATCATGCCATCAGCAATGTAACAATGTATAGGTCTAATAAAATTCAAATTCAGCTGAAAGACCTCTGTGAAATTCTGTGGCTTTTCAAAATAGCCTGTTCCAAACTCTTCTAAATTATTATTGTATATTAATACAGCAAATATTTTCTTTAGCATCATCAGTTATTTTTACTATGCTTTTCAAAATCAGAACAAAGGAAACATAATTGGTGTACATACTCAAATATGCAATATTTTTAGACTTAGTCTTTATTAATTTGTGTCTTATCAAAGGGTGACAAAAATTGACAAGTAAGCATTGTCATAATTGTCACTGAATATCAGGCATTTGTTATTCCATACGTTGATAATGTTGTCATGGAAGACTTGCTCAGAATGTCTATGATGTACTTTTATTCCAGTATTCAATCATAATCAACAATTCTCGAAGTAGTAATAGTTCAAAATGGCCCCAAGGCCCCATAAAACAAGAACTGCTGAGCTCTGTGACCTTGATCTTTAGAAAAGGTAAAAAGATTTTAGACTGGATCTGAATAGTAATGTTGATGAGATGCCATTTAACAGTTTTAGAATTTTGAAATATAATGTGTGATAATTTTAATACAAGCGTTTAATGGCTTTTTAACTTCTATTATGGAACTTGCTGTTTCTAATTAGATATAATTGGATCTAGTTTATGGTACACAGCCACTAAAGAAACAAGATAAATGCTGCAGGAAAAGTAGTATGACCTTTTCATTATTGCTTTGTCAGGACATCTGTCAAGAGATTTTTACTCTATTCCAAAGCAGTCAGACATTTCAATGAACTGTAGTAAGGTATAGCCAGTTCTTGATAGGAGGAACTATGTTAACCAGTAAAATTCATAATGTACTATAGTCAACAAGATACTGAGATACAAGGTACATAATAAAACAGGATTTGTCTTTTGAAGTAGAAAAGGTCAACACTTTATTGAACTTTAGAAGGGAAGACATGGATGGACAACAACAACAACAAAATCCATATCCATGCCAATACTTTTAGTGATTATACTCTAGAATTTATTATAGAAATTTATTTCTGAAATCATTTTAATAAGCAATTTTGTAATACCAGCCACGAAAGGCAAATGAAAAATGGCAGCTCAAGATTTACAGAAGAACAGACGAGGCAGACAGTTTTCTTGCAAAAATAAAAGGCATTGATTTATCGAATTTTGGAGAATGTAATAGTTATGACAGCTTCTAGGAAGCTGCTAAAACTATTCTGTCATCTCAGGTTAACATAAATTGTTTCAGAGACAAAGAGGCATGCCAGCCCCCCAAAAATTAATAACCTTTTCCAAGTTCTAGTTATTACAGTAGATACAAAAGTGACAAACCAAACATGTTCCAGCATCCATGTGTATGATTTCTAATCTCTTCAGATTGCTTCTGAGAGAACTGCAAAGAGTAAGAAAAAGATACGTGTCAGTAGTATTAACAGTTCTCTCTATTGGGAATGTTTTAGAGGCTTGCTAATCAAAAATGTCATGAGATTGAACAAGTTAAAACTTAACAGTAATTACCTGCTACAACACAGCCTCAGACAAACATTTGTTATTCACAAGTAGTTATGCCTTCATTCTAAGCAATACACAATTGAAACATTTAGAATGTTAGTTTTTTTCTTCTGGAAATTAATTGTATTTACACTACAGCTGTCTTTCTCTTTTCTCCTTGTGTTTCATTTCACCTCTTACATCTATCATATAATTAAACCTTGAATCTTGTAAATGATGCTATGCTGAAATACAGCTGAATCCCAAGGGACATCCCTTTCAGTCCTCCCACTTTTCATTCTACAGCTGAGACCTGAGACTGCATTCTTTGGAAAATAAATTTCTGGATTTCTTTGCCTTTTCTCTTTCCTAAGTTAAAGAATTTATTTTTATACCTTCCTATTTTAGTGAATGCCTTTGATTTTCAGAACACATAGGTGCCAGGACATATTTAGTATAAGGCAGATGGTTATTAAGACTCTATGGGCTCAGCCCTACATTATCAACGTTACAGGACTGCAAAGCTATATAAATCCATATAGGTCGTTACTGCAAAGAAGAACTGCAGGAGTTCATAGCTTGTTTATTAATACACTAGGGAACAAAACAAGAAGGAAGACTGCTTCCCAAGGTGATATTAAGTGTAATTTCAGACAGACAATATGATTAACCAAGTATTTCTTTTCTTGTTTAATTACATATGTTTCTAATACTTTCTGACACTTTTGTTGAGTCCTTCTGTCTTCCCCTTCCCTCCTGCACGCACAAAGAAACACTCTTGGAGCCATACTTGGTTACAAACCCAGTAGCCTGGTTCGTTGTCGTTTTCTGGAAAGAAGTCATGCTTTGACATGTCCAGTTACTATTATTTCCTTAAACTTTTCACAGAACAGAGTCAGGCTGAATTTTCTGAGGCAAACACCCACAAGGGCTACTGCAGCTGTTTCTGCTGTAAAAGCTTAGTGGTGACAGGTATGACTTACAGCTTGACATTCTACAGATAGTTTACAATAGAAATTACTCTCAGTCAGGAGGACATTCCTACCTCAGCAATTAAACAATCTGTGGTTGCAAACTTTATTTTTGCAACAGTTGTGAGGACTCTTGAAATGAGAAAAGGGTAACAGAGCAGTTCTCTAAACCTGGCTTGGCTTCAGCAGAAATACACAACCTCTGCCTAGGCTGGGCAGAGCATCCTTTCCATTGCATGTCATGAGCAGCCCACATCCAGAGCTAGAGAAGAGACAGTGCATGGTGCAGCACCAGGGACCCACACCTGGGTATGTGTATGTGACCGTGGCACCTTCCTCACAAGTTTGTGGATTATCAGGCTGTAGGGAGCAGCAAGGTACACATAAAGCTGGGGTGCCCACAGCTCTAACAGAAAGTATATGTAAACAGGGAGAACCACATCCCAGAAGTGTGCAACCCTCAATCTGCAAGAGGTGGAGAACTGGCATACTAGTAGTGTGCATATGACTGGAACATTTGAGAAGCAGTTATAAAAACTTTAGAAGATTGTAGGTCTTCATTAACATTTTGTAAATGCTATTGTAGCTATGCTGAATGGCTCGTTGATAACCAGTTAATAACATGTTGCTAATAAATCACTAAGCTGCTCCTATCCTGATCTGGTCTAAACCACGAGTTGACCAGTTTTCCCTGTGACAGCCTACCTCTCATTTGTATTATACACAAAACTTCTGTGCATATACCCACAATAACTATGGCATATGAAATGGAAAGAAAAAAACACCTCTACTACCTCTCCTTGCTACAATTATTTATCCTGTGCTTGGAAGGCCTTAGAGCTCTCTACTTCTCTAAGCGTGCCAGCATAGATACAGCTAGCTGCAGCTTAAGTTATTTTGGTAAGAAAAGAAATGAGGATGTAGAAGAGCTCTTTAAGACACCATTCTCTTTTACTAGCACTTTTCACATTTTTTTTCAAGTGCTTCTGGGTTAATAGAACTCTTGAGCAAAAGAGGTTCTGGCAGGACTTGGAGCTAGGGTAAGTAGATTTCTACCTTCAGAGCACAAAGTAGAGATACGAAAGCACCTACAGAGAGAAAATGAGAAAAAGTTGCTTCAGTAAGACTAAATAAATCTACCAAAAAAAATCTTTTACAAGCATAAAATGCTATTAGGTAACATTAACTGGATTCACAAAAGAAAGAACTTCAAACAAACAAATAAAAAAACAAAATCTAACAGTAATCTGACAAAACCAGAGTAAAACAACCATTGATACCACAGCTATGGTATATTGTTTACCATTTGTACAGTTTCTATGAAGATTTTGTGTCTAACCAAAAGTAGTTCTCCAACCAAACTGGAGACAACGGAGTTAAAGTGAAATCTTTTTGAATAATTATATAGGTCTGTCATAATAATTAAAGGATCATTATGATCATTCAGATCTTAGAGTATAGCCATCTGCCTAATACTTATTTCTCCTACCGCTGCTAATGCCTGTCTTTGCAATGCAGAAGAGTTTTTTCCTCAAGTTCCATTATATTTTAACTAAAAGGTTATAAATATGCAGCATTTACAATCCTTTTCATGAAATGTTGGAAATCTCATGAAATCAATTCAAGAGAAATTAAATACTGAGGAAATTAACTCAAATAAATACATCAATTCTATTTAATATTTATTGTGATTTAATGTAGTGATCACTAACTCTGAATTCATAAAATATTTTATAACTACTGGTACATTGGCTAATCTGCTTTGCATTAAGTCGGCATGTGTTAACCTTTTTTCCAATGTCATCGAAGCATTCCACTTAGTCTGAACAGCTTTTTGACTTTGTAGAGAGGAGTAAGTAACTTACGTCACACAGTGGCTACACATTTCAATTGCAGGAATCGCAGACAGAAAGAAACCACAATGGATGCAACTATTTAAGTTTAAAGGGATCCAGTTGTGATATTAACTTGCAATAGTGAGTAGCTGCACTGTCTGACAATCCTTTTTGTTATACTTGAACTTAATGACAACCGTATCCTTGACACTGTCATACAAGTAAACAGCAGTCTCTTGTCACAGCATTTGAATACCTACAGTACAAAAAGTACAGTTGACCAGTGACTTTCTTACTAAGGGGAAATGAAATGATTAGTGATCATATTTGCAGATACATAAAGATTGAGACAGAGATTAATGTAGTGGAACAATGATGATGAAAAGTAATCTTTGTTATTTCACAAACAGGGCATAAACTATTTGGTAAATAAGGCACAAGCAAGAAGTATTTATCTTTCTGAATAGCTATTATGCATACTATCAAACTAACAAAATTGAATGACCTCCTTAAGCAATAAGAAACTATACTGGGAAGAAGTAAAACCAAAAAGATCCCTAAGAATCATGAATTCACAACTTACAATGCAGTAGAAAGTGCTAAATTGCTGCAAGTTAACAAAAGTGCAGCTTTTGCTGCATGTTAACGAATAAAAAAGCTATTTAAAATCTTTATTTACCATTATATTATTGATATTGGAATAGTATAGTGTCCAGTGTCCAAAATGAAAAAAAAAAATGTTGGAGAAATTGGAAGGGTTTGACTGCAGATGTCAAAATTTTGGAAAATCTGTAAGACTGAAGCATTTTGATCTATTTATTTTTCTCTAGAGAAGATATATAAATAACTATATGGAGAATAAAAAGTGTAGGAATTAAAATTCTTAAAGTTCTTATTTTGTTGTTTAAAATTGACATCTAGAAATTTATTTATTTATTTTTTACAGGGCAAGATGTAGAGATTAATGCTGATAATGGAGTTTGTACATAGTCTGTTTGCTGTACTAATCTGATATTGTAAGTAATTACAAATATATTACTGCAGTTTGTCATTGTGATAGAGATTAGCAAAACAGTGTGTCTTTTTTAATATATAATATGCTTATTTCTATAAATAACATTGAATTTATATTCTATGTAGCACTATTGTTACCTTCCAATGAATTCATTTATACACATATATATAAATACATATGTTATACATTCCTGCCTGCTTTCAAGGATGAAAAGGTTTTATTTAGACTAAGTGGAATAAATCTAACTAATTTGCATGAAAAAAAAATATTGTATAATACATTTAGAAAATTACTGTAAAATTACATATAAGATCTTCAAAAAAACTAAGGTTTGTTCCTTATTACTAAAATATCCTTTGAATTATTTTTTAAGAATTCTTGTTTAATTCTTATTCTTCTAGGAATAAAATCAACCAAATTGCTTGTAATTTTAGAAGTATAGAAGACCATAGAAAAGAACTGCAGAACTTGTAAAGTTAATGAAGATTAGATATCGCACCATATTCTTGGGAAAAGCGATTAAAGTTTTTGTTGGTGGGGACTTAACTGCCCTCTTGACTGTTGTTCTGGATTTCGCAAGATTTCAGTTCTGTTACTTGTACCTCAAGGTACAGAAGTGACAAAGTTCTTGCAGCACTTCTTTCTGACAAAGTGTTACTTTGGCCAGATTCCTTTACTACAGAATGTCCGAGCAGAGCTGTCAGGAAGAAAGTTCCGTTTAGGACCACTTCAAAATAATTGTTTACTACTCAGAAAACTATTACTAAATATGTTTAATGACTCTGGAAACAAGAATCAATCAAAACCAAGGAAGAAAACCAAATGGACCAATACTCAAGTTAATTTAAATCTTACCTTGGTAGCTGCTTTTCTTAAATTAACATAGACCAAATGTCTCTGTACTGTGAGTTGTTAGCCTCAGGGTGCAGGTACCAAGAAATGTCAAATAGCACTGAAAAACCTCTTATTATTGATGTTTTTATGGCATTTGACCATAATAGTGCCTTGCCTCCTTTTTCTTTTTGTTGTGGCAGATAAGCCTAAAAAAAAAATAAATAAATAAAAAGAAGAGTTTGAAACCAAAGATAAGCAAGCAGCAAAATGTCTGATGGTTATTCAATGCTTATCTGAATCGCCAATACCTTCTGAGACAAGTCTCACAAGACTTACAGTTCTTCCAAATTTCAGGCAGTTCAGAAATAGCAGTTGTTTATTATTATTATTATTGTTGTTTTGTTGTTGTTTTGTATGTTGGCACTTTTGTCTGTCTCTGCAGACTCCAGCTAAGACCTGCAAATGCATAGCTGTGCAGAAGTTAAAAACAAACAAACAAACACAAAGTTATTTAACAGTTTAACAGAATTCTGTATTTTTAAAAGTTATTTGATTTTTGACAACTGTTATCACTTTTATTCTGGGGACCCTCACATGCCATCCTGTCCTCAATCACAGGTTACCTGTATTACTTGTCAGCAATTAAATACTGTTATTTACATCACTTGCTTCTGTATCTCCTCACAGCTTATAACAATATAATATATATAAAACAAGTCATGGCAAATTCCCCCCCAGTTTTATTCTTCAGCTGGACGCCGAGTGGTATGGGACATCCCTTTGGACACTTTGGGTCATCTGTCCTGGTTCTGTCCTTTCCCAGCTCCTTGTGCAGCCCCAGAATCCTCACTGGCAGGACAGCATGAGAAGCTGGAAAGTCCTTGACTCAGTGTAAGTGCTGCTCAGCAACAACTAAAATATCAGTGTTATCAGCATCATTTTTCTCCTAAACCCAAAACATGGTAACATACCAGCCACTATGAAGAAAATTAACCGTCTCAGCCAAAAACAAGTGCAGAAGTATAGAAGCCAGTGAAAGGAACTGTCTCACAGACAACATTTATAGGAACATGTCTGTCCCTTTCTTTGTTTCTACTGATTCTCCCACACCTGATTATAACCAAGATCAAACTGTGTCTACAATTTTTAGATTTTATACTTGCATTTATACTATACGTTTACCAGCATGGCCAGCAATAAATAATCAATAGCCCATCTACTTATTTTGAATAATTACTTTTGTATATAATTACTTTGAATTGGATTGAACAATCAATTAAAACAAAATATGCCCATTTAACAATACCTCCATTCTTTGAAGATTTATTTTTTTTTTTGCTTCCAGACTATAATAGATTTCAAGTCCTAAAGTTGCAAGCAGAAGGCCCCCATGTTTCAGAATATTCCAGTTTCTGCCAAACCATATGGCACATCTTTATTTAAGTGTTAATTATTTTCATGTTCAGCACAAATTCTTTAATTTAATGCTGCATTTGTCTTTGATATAAAGTAGTTTGATATAAAATAGCTTAACTAAAAGTTAATCTAGTAAGTTTTCCAAGCACTGTAACTGTAATACTTCAGCACCAAACTTTCCAATTGGGACATTTTTAATTCATTGTAGTGTTACAGTGATTTTAGGAAATCATTATCAATAAATTTGGAAGCATTCTGGTTAGCGAAATCAATGTCTCTTCCTATTTACGTTCAAGACAATGTTTTGTTTCTAAGCAAGTTATATCCCAAAGGACTAAAAGTTGTATATAGCAGGCTCTCCAAATGTCTTTTGTCTGAAATAATTGCAAATGTGCTGGTTGCTTTTACAGCATTTAATCTGACTTCAACTTCTGTGCAAAGATCCATGAAAGACATTTTGGATATACAATTTCCTTGGGGAAACAAATCCATTGTTTGAAAATAAATTACATCAAGATTTCTATGCAAAAGCTAATACACTGCAGTTTTAACATTAGTCTGACAATACCTTACTGTTCATGCCATGCATTTTGTTTATCCTCATCAAGCTGGACTTGACTGAAAGTAGGTGACACTTTGAGTGTTCTAAACAGACTACTAGCAGGTGGTTGTGTCGAGAAGACTTTTTGACAAACCTCCCTGAGGTACAAGTAACAGCAGTTAGCACTCCATCCCAGGAAGAATATCATACTCATAGTCAATTAGCACTTTTGGAAATGTAGCACAGAGTTGGGTGTTTCTGGCAGCAACATCATCCATAAAACAACATGCAATCTGCTTATGGAATTGTTAGGCAAAAAGATCATCCTCTTTGTCTGACCTAAATGCAGGACTGTTCCAAGTGAATATTTGCTTGTTTTTGTTTGGTTGGTTGATTGTTTTTGCTTTCAGATATATTTGTTCAAGAAGTATGCCTTTCCTGCAAACTAAAAACACAGGTTTGAATCTATCCCACTGATTCCAAATTTCATTTGGTTTCTTGACTTACATGGAAGTGCTGTTCATCTTTCTGATACTAGGTTAGACTGACTTTCCACTAAAGAGTATCCCTTTTACAAACATGGTAACTTCTTACTTGTTCAGTATAATGTAGCAATTTACTTCTTCCCAGTCAATAAACATATTATTAATGCACAATAAAAACATATATATATACTTCTCTAATACAAGGTCATTTCTTCTCTCTAGAACAGTACTTTTTACCTTTGAGAGTCAAGCCATTTCTTCATCCCCCAGGCTACGTTTCACTTCTGTTAATCTAAAGAAGATAGCTGTGGCTCCTTTTTCCCAGATCAGAAACATCAAGATAAGAGCAGATTCATATAACAAAATAAAGTATAGCTTTTACAAGTGTACATTCAAGTCTACTGAGTCTCCATTGGCCTCCATAGTGGAAACATATCAGTCACCTAATTCCTTTCTCAAAATTTTCCTATCAGATTCTCCATCCTTAACCTTTTCCTAATTTCACAAGAACTTCCTTCTCATTCTATCAGATCGTCACTTGTCTAACAGATCACAATGCTCTGATCACCTCAAACCACAGAGCACTCAAGAACAAGTTTTTGCTCCTTGGAAGCTGAACAGTCAGCCCCTAGTTGAATTATTTGCGGCATGACACTGTTATGGATTTTAACCAGTCCCTTAGATTTAAGAAAACTTTAACATTACAGATCTGAACATTGCATTATAATTAGGAAAGATGCTCAGTTGCTGTGCTTTACTTTCTTTAGGGAACTTCAAAGGAGTAATGAGAGCTAAAGTAACTCATTCCACATGTAGACTTGAAATCCTCCTGTTCTCCACTTCATGAGTCATTCTGTACATACTGGCAATGAGCCAAGCTTGATTAGGCTTACTTCATCCAGTAAGCACTAGGTAGCACGCACTTCAATAAAACAAAATTGCTCCATGTCTTAATTCTGAAAATTCTTGACACTACTACTATTTGTAAACTAGGTTTTACGTCAACTTCATTAAACAACTAATACAGTTTGGGGGCACTTAGTGGAAGACGTATGCTACAATACAGATTAAACAAATATGATGCTTGTGCATCATCACACAAGCACTTGCAACAGGCTAAAATCTAAATGCAAAAGTCTCAGATTTTGCCCTTTAAAAATACAGAAAATAGTAATAAAAGGCAAAAGAGAGAAAGAGAAGCTTTAGATGCTAAAAGTAAGCTGCCTCATAAGAACAGTCATTTTATTCCTCTTTGTGATAATAACTTCAGCAAAAAAAGGTGTCTTGCTATTATGACCTTTATATATAGGTCAGACTTCTGCTGTGAGCTGAGGACTGATGGAGGAACATATGTTGTTCTCAACTTTAAACTAGCCAAAGAGACAATTTGCTCTTGGGGTAAAAGTGATAAATTAAAATCCTTTCAGTTCTTGGACTCACTAAATGTGGTCACCTAATCCTTTCTGTTCAGTTGGAATAAATCACTTTGTTGTAAACAACATTTCTTAGCATATCAAAGCATATCTGGAGCACCTGAGCTCCAGATTTAAGGTACTGTATTGAATCAGCTTGAGCACAAACCAAATCCATTTATTTCCTGTCTTCTAAACAGTACTCTGAAGTGTTCTGTGTGCTTTATCCCGAAAACTGTCAAAGACTCACTTTCTGTTCTAACAAAAATAAGTATCCAAACACTGATGTTTTCCTTGAAAAGAGGTCTTATTTTCTAGTCAGTCCTGGTCTTAAACTAGTGATTTTTGACTGAATAAATTTCTGCGATCATGTTTTGCATGTGGACATGAAACAAAGTGTACTTTACTGATCTATACTCCTACATCAGAAACAATGCAGTCAGAGTAGTAAACCACTGTGCTAAAGCACCATTGTGCTACAGCAACATTAGCACAGCACCATGTCTTGCAAAATGAGCTCAAGGCTGTATCTATCCATACAGAGATTCTCTAAAATGTATTACAGAATCACTGAAAAAAAGATAGCCACCCAGCCTGGAAACGTTTCTTCTACATCCAAATGGGCTGGAAGAAAATTAAAGAAAAGCTTTTGGAGCACATTTGTATGAAAAGGCACAGAATTCACTCACTCTATTGTACAGCCAAGAAATGCTAAAGTCGTGCATGTAGCCAATTAATTAGTCAACCCATCTTCTAACTCAGTGCAACATGTTTGATGTATTTCCTTATTCAGTTCCAGAGAAGACAAAATTAACTCATAGTAAAACTGGGTTAAGGGAATTATGCACTTATTTAATTTGCTCTACCTGGAAGAAAATGATACTGTTCCTACCTGACTGGACATGCAAAACGCTAGTTGTACACAGTGTGTATTGCTTGTAAGCAATGCCTGCACCTTCAACTGTATGCACACATAGTGAGATAGCTGGTAGAAATAACCTCCATAGAAAAAGGAATATAAAAATAAAGTACTGTGTTATATTTTTCTAAGCAACAGAAGCGTGTTCTTGATTCTAATCTGCAAGATACCCAGCAAGAATTCTTTACACCAATACATCAATTAAGTAGGAAGAAGTGCATGTGTGTATTTTTTTCCTAATTAAATGATAGCAAATAAAATTCCATTTAATTGATGCATGTCTAGTTAACCGAATATCAAATCAAGTTACTTTTTAAATGCAGGATCACTTTATATTCTTTCTCTATTACCATGAGGCTATGTTTTTAGTTTTTTCAAAGTGTGTTTGCCTGCACTGCAAAAACTCATGGTGGTTTTGGCCAGTAGACCAGTTAAGGATACTACATACCTGATCCACAGAACCAAATATAATCGTAAAATTTTGCAAGGACAGTTATATCACAATATTTTTTTTCCCTTCTTAACTGGGAAGCTCAAAAATATATCTTTGGAAGGCTTTGCCAGGCACAGTAAGAGTAGAAATCCAAGAAAGTACATCAACTAAGGTATACTTTGTAGAAAAGAGGTTTTCTCTCACATTAGTTGGTGAGATGACAGTGATTCTGTAAGATATCAAAATACGTTGTCAAATGGAAAC